CCCCCCCCCAATAAGGTCATTTTCTGCGTGGTTCATCAGAATTGCAAACTCTCGCTAAATTCTCTCCTCCGGCCGGGCGCTGCCGCGCGCTCCACGGGCGCGAAGGGAGTGGGATTAGCCAACTTCAAATCACTGCGCTCGCAGCTCGCATCGAGCGGCTAAGACGGAGGATTTAGGGGGATTTTTGAGATCCAAACTTCAACACTTCACATGACACCGATCAATTCTTCCCCCTTGCTTGCTTGCTTTTTTAAAAAGAGCTGTAATGATTTTGAAATAATACCCAACCAAGGAAAGTCGGGGGAAGGGGCGGAGAGTACCGGCCTCCCCCACCTCATGGGCCAACGAGTCTCTGGCCGGGGCGGGGCCAAGGGGGGCGAGGGGCCTCTCCACTCACTCTGCACAGCCTCGATCTTGTAGGGGATGTCGAGGCTGCCCAGCGAGGCCAGCGCACCCAGGAAGGCGGCGACATCCGTGGCGCTCTGGAAGCACTGGGCGGATGACTGGACGCAGTGCCGATTGTCAATCTCCAGGTACACGATGGACCTGCAGGGCACTTGCTCAGTGGGGCGCAGTCTGCACGCAGCAGCCCCCTCTGCGGCTCGCTGGCAAGGGCGGGGACCAGGAGCCCGGGGTTCCCTCTGGGGAGTTGGCCAAGCCCAACCTCCGAACCGCGCCCCCCATCACCCCTCTTTAGCCATGCGGGGGGCGCACTGATGCCTGCAGGCGACGGGCGTCGTCTGAAGCTCCCCGAATGAGGGACTGGGGGTGGTGAGCAGTGGGGAGGGCAGGGGCCTTGGGACCCGTGCCAGGCGCCAGGCAGCGGGAAGCACGTGGGCGCACTCCTACCCTCGGACATCCATGGGGTCCAGCTCGCGGCGCCTGCGCGCGGCCCCAGATCGGCCTGAGCCGCGAGCCCGTGCTGCTGCTGCTGCTGCCGGACCCCGCCGGGGACGACAGCCTGGCGCCCGTCCGCGAGATGGCTTGCTCCATCGTCGACCAGAAGGTAAGTCGCCGCGCGGGGGCGCGGCCCGGGCCGGCC